AAGAAAAGCTCCTATACGCCTATAGGCTTATCATAGAGAATGCGCCCAACGGTCCAGATTGAATCTAGGTCAATCTGACGCTCATAGATGTTCAATGGTGTTTGGATTTTAATTTCTTTTCTACAAATTGAATCGACCGGAAAAATTTTTCGTGTGTTTAATAAAAATAGGAAAATATACAAAAAAATATCAAAACAATATTTTATATGAAAAAGCTTGACCAAAATACCTTCAAAAAGATTTGGAAGGTATTTTAGTCAATTTGTTTCATGTAAAATATTTTTTTGATAATTTTTGTAGATTCTCCTATTTTTTATGAACACATAAAAAAAAATTCAGGTCAATCTTATTTTTTTAAAAACAAATTAAAATTCAAATAATATCAGACATCTGTGAGCATCAGATCGGCTCAGATGCAATTTGAGCCGTTGGGCATATTCTCTATGGTAAACTCGTTGGCGTACCACAGCATCTTCCTATATATATATATATATATATATAAAACTTAAGATATAACCAAGTGTCCTAATCTAATTGGACTTTAATTAGTAACTTAAGAAACTTATCAATATCAATCCCATATAATATGTGATTTCTTTATGGGGATGATTCTAGATGTCATCATATTCAACAAATGTGTGGAAGCCGAGTGATGAGACCCATCTGAATTGCCTGGTTCCTTGACATAGTCATTTTGTATCGTTCGGTTCCTTGGTATACTTGTCTGGTTCTTAAACCAAACCATGTGAGTCCATAGAAAATTGTACTGATTCCTAAATTCTAACAAGGAAATAGGCTAATTGGGTACACTCCTAGACTGGATAAGTCATTCCTGATTTGGACCATTGAGTTTTAAAAACTTTTATCAGGATCGAATTAGACCGGCTGGTCCGACTATCAAAACGCCAGCAGGTGCCTCGATCATTTTAGTTCGAAACAAAAAACGAGTATCATTGAAAACCAATCAAAATTAATGTTTGTTTACGTTACAAATCAAAGAGATATTCGGAGGAAGATCCTCAGAATTGAACACTACAAACTAATTTTTTAAAATAGCGATAGAGAGTGGGACAATCAAATTCTGATCTGAGGCCATATCTACTCAGAAGTGAGCAGATCTCCTATCAGATCAGTGGCAGAGCCGGCATTGATTTGAAATATGAAATACAACATAAAATTCAATAAACTAATTTAATTCTAATAAAATAAATAAAATGAAAAGAAACATATGAAAGAGTAAAAATGTACTAGACCAAGGCTCCCGAGGATTCGAGGCCTCGTTCGTATAAGTACTGGCTGAGTTTTACGTCGTACATCTTCTTTGTTTCTCGTCATTTTTTTTACCAGGCCTTGGCTTGGTTGAATGGATCTCTTAATCTAAGAGCTGCAGGTGACGTAAAGCTAAAGTTTTTCCTAAGTCTAGGCTTCTCAAGTCTCACAATCTCTCAATTTTCTCTAGGGGAAACAAGCTAATAAGGTTTCAAGAGTCTCCCCTAAAATGATCTCGAAATGACTTTTTTATAAGCTGAAAATCGTCTGAAATGGGTAACATGCCATAACCAGAAGATTTTCAAGCCTGAGCTGCCGTTTTGGGTCAATCTGAGCTGGGCGACACTGGGAGCGTTGCCCAAACCAAATATGCCCAAAATCGATAGATTCATGGCTAGGATGATTTTGGGGCTATAGGAATACTGCCTACTAAAAATCAGCCAATTTGGGTCAGTCTGGGCTAGGCGACACAAAGAGCATTGCCCAAACCAAATATACCAAAAATCGGTAGATTCATGTCTAGGATGATTTTGGGGCTGTCGGGATGCTGCCTACCAAGAATCACCCAATTTGGTCAGTCTGGGCTGGGTGACACTAGGAGCATCGCCTAGACCAAATCCACCCAAAATCAGTAGATTCCTGTCTGGGCTGATTTTGGGGCTGTCGAGATGCTGCCTGCTAAAAATTAGCCGATTTGGGTATGTCTGGGCTGGGCAACTCTGGGAGCATCACTCGGGCGATACAAGGAGCGTCGCCCAGACCAAATCTGCCTAGAATCACAAAATGTCAGTTCTAGGCTGATCTTGGGGATGTCGGGATGCCGCCTACTAAAAATTAATCGATTTGGCCCAATTTGGACTGGGAGACACTGGGACCATCACTTGGGCGACACTAGGAGTGTCACCCAGACCAAATCTGTCCAAAATCACAAAATTCCAATATTGGGCTGTTTTTAGGCCTGTCTGTGCTGGGCGATATTAGGAGCGTCACTTAGGCGACACTGGGAGCGTCGCCCAGACCAAATCTGCCTACAATATTAAAATTTCAATTCTGGGGACATCTACAGGCTCTTGTGATGCTTCATGCGAAAATTTAGGTCAAAACAAGGTGTTTTGCTATTTTTAACCAATGTTTTACTAAAACAATGCATTTTGCATGATTCTGGATCACAAGGCATGCATTATGGACTATAGTGGTCTAATTTTTTTGGGATAATGTGATCTTGAGGGTTGTTGAAGGTTTGGAAAATCATAGAATTTACAAGTTTTTAAAAATGGAGTGTCTACAATGTTTGACCAATTTTAGGCTCTTGGATTGGCCATTTTGATCAACTAGACTACTTAAACAAAGTTTGGCAAAATTTTAAATATATTTTAAAGTTTTAAACTATAATAAAAATTTTCTTTATTATTTTTAAAATTCAGTTCAATAGGTTTGATTTGTAGTTGGACCAATTTCAACTAGAGTAGGCCCTTTAATAGTTCAGTGATCTGTCCAATCTTGATAACACTACTTCATACTTGTTGGATCCCACTAGGATCATATGCTTAACCGGCTAAAAACAAAATCAAGGATAATACAATCCCAAATTTGAGCATGAGAAACAAAGTATAAACGCACATACACCCCAACGTCCACCTAGAAGAATACAAATATTTACTTGGTTCATCCTAAACGGTTGCATCCACGGACATGGAACACTCAAATCTACCATACCGATGAGAGTTAATTTAGTGATCTTGGGACATATAGATACCTCTCTTACCCTTAGCAAAACTGAGTTGACTTTGCTAAACTATTGCCGATGAAAAAAACCATGAACCATTTGAGACTTTCTCTCACCAAAACCTACTACCATCCAAAATCTATATAGGAACTGCTTCTCTATAAGAAACCATACTCTGACTTTGCACAAACCACCATAGTATTGTTTCTCTCTCTAGGAAGCTCACTCTTCTCTATGTGGAGGCATCGTCTCTTTATGCGGGAAAATGAATTGTCTCTCTACAAAGCTCATTTCTCATTATGCGGTGGCATTGCCTCTCTATGTTGGAGTCTTTTTAGAGGACGCCACATTTTCAATTTGGTGACTCCAAATAGGGTACACACTTTTTTTCCTCACATTCCTCACATGTCTTTGGAAAATTTATTAAAATACAATTTATATTTGGACTATTTATTATTTTAGCCTTTATTTTACATTTCAAAGTCAAAATTACGTCCATTTTGAAATTAATTAAAAACATATGGGTAAAATGCTAAATTATTAATCTTATAGGCATATTTTGACAAATTTTGCATTAGAAATCAATAGCAGATAGGGAATTTCAGTGGATTTCCTTACTAATTTTTTTTTTTTTGGTAAGTCACTAGTGATGATGAGCCCCTATCGGTTTTTTAAATAATCAATTTTTGAACCGGTTAGTGGAGGTCGAGACCTAACCTCATACTGAGGTTTCCTTACAACTTAAAAAACTTTAATCATGCCAATATCCACATCGATCCCTATCATAAGATTTCTTTATAGTGGTGATTTTGGATATCACCATAAGATAACTTGCATTATTCACCCAAAAAAGACTTGCATTATTCACCCGAAAAACATAACACTTTCTCCAGGATGATAGTTCTACGTTTTTTGTATGCGCCACCAACCAAGGAGGCACTATCTCCACATGTTTCCTTTGTAATGAAAAAAGAAACAAGGGTGCGGTTTGTACAGAGCCTAGGCTCTAAACAATCAAATTAGAGTCTAAATTCAAATAGTGTAAAAAAATGTGGTTTTAATACTGAAAATCTTTGTGATAGCCTTAAAATTATATTTTCATATTTATTTATAAAGTTTAAGGCTTTAAAAATAGTATAGATCGACAGATCAATGAAAACTTAAAATCTTAAAAATTGATGGTCAAAAAATACATTACAAAATGCACTATTTACAAAACTTGAAATCGATATTTTTTTTTGGGCTATGTATCTTGATGTCGAGATGATCAATTTGAAGATATTTAAGCATCAAAACAACCTCTTCTAGTGAAAGTTTTGAAATACTTTCAAATTTGATTGTTAGAGCCTCCACTCTGTATAAACTTTTCCCAAGAAAAAAATTCTTCCTTTTAATTATTACAATGAATTTGGAAACAGATGTTGTGGTCTTGTGGGACCATATTATAGGTTTGGTTTTGATATTGTGCCAAAGGTTGTTACTTGACCCAAAGACTCCCAAATCATCTCAAAAACCATTTAAAAAATAATGAAAGGCCAAACCTAACCCTAGCCAAGTTTGGGTCCATAAAGGGTGGCCTCAGCCTTGGTTGAGGGGCCCATGACCCAGGCCCCATCTAGGAAGCGCCCAGCCTACTATATACAAAAGAATAAAATAGAAAATAAGGAAAAATAAAGTGGTGGACCTATAATAGATTCAAATAAAAATAAAATAAAATAAAAGAAACACACATTGGGCTGGTCATGTCGTGCTTAGGCCCAGTCCTACCCTCGGGCCACATTTGTAGCTCAGGCCCTATTTTCACGGGAAGACCGCCAGGCCCATTATGTTACTTTAACATTACAATGGAGCTCATTAATGGCATGAGGAGCCTAATTTTGAAGATCACCGTGTTAAAGACTTTGCATTCGGGCATTTTCCGTATTTTTTATGTTTTTTTGAGTGAATCAGTGGGGACGTTGGGCTGCTACCCATTTTATTAAAAGAAAAAGAAAAAGTTATAAGGGTACTCTTTTCGCAACCCTCAAGAAGGGAATTTTGGCAAGGACCCGATTTCTATCCGGCCAGGCCTGTATATGTAGAAATGCAAGTCCTTTAATAAATCTATTTTTGAGATGGATTTTAAGACTTAATTTTTAAAGAAATGTAATATCTAACAGTGAGATCATGAATATGAAAAAATAAATAATTTTAAAAATAAAAAATAATAATTTTAATAATAAAATATTTAGACAGTTAATTTCCATTGTTTTTAGATGGAACACCTACTTGCATCCATTTTAATTCATCTTTAAAATGAATGCTTTGCACTTTCTGGACAGCATGTGTAGAAATGTGGTCCAATCCACATGAAACAATTTTCCTAAAAAAACAAAGGGCAGTACAAAATCTGGGAGGCGAGCACGCGACACCATTGCTTCATCTTTAGAACCTGCCTCTTTGGCCAAGAGATCAACAGGCATATTATGTCAGGATGTGCTATCGATGGGCAGCAAAAGATGTGAGCTACAATGTTGATTCAAGGTATCAACCAAAACCTTGAAGATACTTTCAATGAATAGATGTATACAGTGCAACTCCCTTGCAAAATCGATAGCCATTTCCCATCTCAATTCATATGAGAGCAATAGAGAGAGAGGATGGTATTGTAGGCTTCCATTGCTGATAAGATTCTAGCAGTCGACACCGCATTGCATGGCCAGTGTCGGTGGCGGAGGAGCAATAAAGGGATCGATATCAACCCAAAGCAAGGAGAAAATGGTGGCCAAGAGCAATGACCACACAATCAATATGGTGGGGGTGCGATCCTGTCGCCCCAACAAGCCCTTTAGGAAAGGGTAAAGGTGCACAATGACCCAAACTGCAAAAAACAACCTTCCTAGCAATGGCCCCCAAGACATGTCTCCGGTGCTCAACGCATGAGATACCCCGGCCACCATCCCAACCACATTCAGCAACAACAGCGTGGTCGGGGGGATGAGGAGTGTTGTCCATTTGAAAGCATGGAGTTCCGAGAATTCACCATCTTTGTCGGAGGCCTTTGAAGTCACTGTGAAGTTGGTGTCGATCCCCCCTAGGACTTTGAGGAGGCCCTGGAAGACGGCAAAGAGGTGAGCTGAGGTGCCCCCAATCACCCAAAACTGCTCGTTCCTCCACCAGTCGTCGATATGCACACCACTCCATCGTAGTTCCAGCATGCCGGTGGCGAAGATGGACGCGAATAATAGGATAAACCACATGATTGCCCAATCACTTAGCTGCATTCATGGCACCAATCACATAGGCAATGAAAATATGCATATCGGATTGGTTGTGATTAACGGTAATGAGATGGGCACAATGTTAGGTGATTAGGGTGGTGGGGTACCACAATATGACATTTCTATTCTTATTATGAATAAAAGAATAAAATACGTAGTTTGGGAAGAACGCATAAATGTAGGTCACAATAGTGATGTAATTACAATGGGAGTATCGTTTGAACAGGGCAAGTAATTTGAAAGAAATTTACGGTCATGTCAAAATGCGCATCGCCCTGCCAGATCTTGGTTGGAATGAGGAGTAGGATGGTGACGGTGGAATCGGAAAATTTGTCAGCCACATGTGGAACTTTTCCCAATATTTTTAGCAGTGTAAAGGAGAGGGGTCGGGTCAGGGTTGACCAGACCCAACGTTGTCTCATTTACACCTGTGCTTGAGTCTAAGTCATTTGAACCTAGGCCCGGGTTGAGAAATTTTATGATGGATTAGATCAACACCCGAGCCGGACCCTACCATAAATATTGCAATACTTTACTATTTGAATGGTTTGATTTATAAGTTACGGCGCAATTTGTATAGAGCGTTTCAAATAGTATTCAGAAATATGGTTTCAATACTGAAAATCTTTGTGATAGCTTTAAAATATATTTTCATCTTTAATTATAAAATTTAAATCTTCAAAAATAGTGTAGATCGAGCCGATTTATGAAAACTTGAAAATCTTGAAAATTGACTGTCCAAAAATGTGTTACAAGATGTACTATTTTCAAAACTTGATATCCTTTGTTTTTTCTCATGTCCATGCATCTTGATGTCGAGATGACCAATTTGAAGATATTCGGACATCAAAATAAAACTCTTCTAATGAAATTTTTGAGGTAGGCTCTAATTTCATTGTTTAGAGCCTCGGCTGTGTATAAACTTTTTCTTATGAGTAATGCCATAGATGGGTTATAAGAAAAAGATTCTCATTGGAAGATAAATTTCAACCGCTACTCTAATCGATGGCCTCAGCGTTTTAAAAAACGTCGAGTCGAACCGGACTCGTCCGGTTCGACTTGGAAATCGTGAAAAGGGGACCGGATCGCCTAAAAAATCGGAAATTGTCCGGTT